CATAACCAGGTGGAGGAGTCATATACACATCCTCATTTAAGTCACTGTACAAGTATGCTGATTTTACATCATAAAATTTAACAGTCAAGTTTAATTTAGCTGAAAGTGAGAACAATAATCTGAAACATTCAATGTTAACTACTGGTGAATATGATTCGGTATAATCCTTATTTTTTATTTGATTAAACCCAGCCGCTACAAATCGCGCTTTATATTTTACTTCCTCAGAGTCTCCTTAAGTCAGTCGAAGTATACACCCACTTACTTTTTACTAATTTTGTTTTTTTAGGCCTCTCTACTATTTTCCACACTTCATGTTTATGTAATGAATCTAATTCATTTTCCATTGCGGATTTCCAATCATACCATAGCACTTGTTTTGATTAACATTATTGATTCATTATTGATTATGATTATGATTGATTATTGATTATGATTGATTATAATCGGAACATTATTGATTATACTTGACGCTAGTTGTTTTGATTTGAGCCTCTCGGATCGTCTTAATGGTATTTCAACATATTTATTAGTTTTTTCATAGCTATCAGATGTTTGGACTTTATTCCCCCTGTCATCAACCCCGCTACAACGGCTCATGTCAGCGATTTCGAAATTCGATGAGTCATCATATTTGCTTGCTTGAGTATTTTCCGTAACAACCAATTCGAGGTGTGGTTTTTGATCTACTTCATTTCCCTTTCGTTTAATTCTTCAATATTCCAAGTTTCTAAGGCTTTATTTCCCCCATATAGATAATTACTACCTTTTAAAGATTCGTTAAATTTAACTGATTGTTCTTCAATTTTTTTTACTTGCTATATCATAAATACGATATCCTTTCCTTTCTCTAGCATATCCTAACATTATCCCTCTTTTCCCTGGTATGTCAAATTTGTTTCACATTGCTTTCGGAATGTGAAAGAGTGCCACACATCCAAACGTTTTTAGATAGTTTAATTTGGGTTTTTTACCAGTCCAAATTTGTAAAGAAATTTTTTGTTTTCCTTTCCGGGGTGTTAAATTTTATACTTGAGTACTAAAATTAATTGCTTCTGCCCAGAATTTTACCGGAAGCTCACACTCATATAGTAATGTCCTAGCTCTTTCCAAAAGAACTCTGTTTGCCCGTTCAGCTTTCCCATTACTCTCACTGTTATATGGTATTGTTTTTCATGAAAAATACCTGAATTCGCAAGATAATCATCTCATTGTTGATTTAAAAATGCTAAACCATTGCCTGTTCTCAAACGTTTAATTCTTTTACCAGTTAAATTTTCATACTTAGCTTTAAATTTACAAAATGCGTCAAATACTTCACTTTTAAGAAAATAAGTAAAATACATTCCAGAAAAATCATCCACTAAGATCATAAAATATTTAGACCCACCAATTGATTCAGTTTCAACAGGGCCACATAGATCCGAATGAATTAATTCTACAATTTCCGAACTCTGATTAATGTCAATTTTTGGATGACGTTTTCTAGTTATTTTACTTATGTCACAAGTTTCACACTTAAAATCACTTACATCATTAATATCAATGTATTCTTTCATTTTTTAAGCATATATTTGGATTTTAAATGGCACAATCTACTATGCCAAAGTTCATAATTATTACCAGCACAATCATTAGCAATGCAAGATTCAGAATTATAATATGGTTCTAAATTAACTTCAAGCCTACGTTATTCTTAAATGCTTTAAAAAGTAATTCATTACACCTACTAAAAACTAATACAGAATTATTCCTTGATTCAATTTTACATTCTTTATCCATTAAGGCAGTGAGTGACAATAAGTTATTTCTTAAATCAGGAATATAACTAACATTACTAATAGTTAAATTAATTAAAACTGGAATTCTTTGTATTTATAGTTTTTACTCTAACAGTACCAATACCTTCTGAAAATATTTTTGAATGTTTACCTACCATGTATATCTCTCTCACCTCTAATATTCTGAAACCAAAAAAAGTCTTTTGCTATGTGCCAGTTGCACCATTATCGAGCAACCAAATTTTATCACATTCATCATTTTTCCACGCGTACGTTGAAGAGCAAAATCACTTTCTCTTTCATCAAAACGAGATGAAACGTTCACACTTGTAGGTTGTGACTTCTTTCTTTCCTTGTTACCTTTGGATAACGCACTTTTTGGTTTCTTGTTTCTGTAATAGCAGTCCTTCGCGATGTGACCAGGCCGTCGGCAAAGGTAACAAATTCTTGGCTTATAGTTTTTATTCCTTCTTGATATGAACGCCTCTGCGTTGGTTCCATCAGGTCGTTTTCCTTTCGTTGAATTGTGAACGGACTCTCCCTCACGCAGTATTTCGAGTACTTCATCAATTTTTTTTTCAAGCTGAGTTTTTACAATTTCCCTAATTCGAGAGAATTTTCCACGGACTTTATAAAACACCAGTTCCCGAGGGGACACATCTAGTCCTAGCGATTGGCACTTAGTTGCTATTCCTCTCGCTCTTCCTATATAATCATTAGCCGACTCATGCAACTTCATTTCTAAATTTTTTAACTCATTACCAGTATCTATTTTTCGATCTTCGACTTGTTCCGTAAATGTTGACTTTATTTTTTCCCAAAGAATTTTTGCATTCTCTTCTGTGGAGAACTTAAGCGCCTGTTGATCCGATAGTGAAAGTTTTATATATGCTACGGCGTCAGCGTTTTTCTCATTCCACAATCTTTCATCTTTCTCGTCTAACTCGCCTAACGAGTTCCCCGCTTCCTTCCCTCCCTAGACCAACGACTTCATATAACAGGTAGACGGCTCACCTACAGAGAATTCGTCTGCTAGGGTGTCTCCAACATATACCACGTGACTAATGCTCTTGGGGAGTGATAGCTTAGGCTGTTCATCGCCAGTTTGGCCCGCTTCTGATATGGCAGGTATTTTTATTTCCGTCTGCTAGCAGTCAGCAGACAACGGCCTCGAATTAGGTTGTTCGATTTTTTACAATTATATTTAGATATAACGTAACCCCTTTTTTCCTGAATATTTTATATATATTTTTAATAATTGCTTTAAATTATTTGCACCATTGTTTAAGATGTTTAGGTTAAATAATTTTAGGAAGAAAATCTAAAATAAATATAATAAAATTGAGATGGAAACTTTAATTTTGAATAACGTTAAAAAATAATTGCACTACTGTTATAATATTTGAGAAGGTAAAAAAAAAAATCTCGTTTAATTTTAATGCATTGCATCCTAAAAGAGAAAAGAAAATCACATTGTATTATATGTATTTATGCCATTGATTGTCTTTCTTTTCTTGAGATTATATTACTGGAACAAAATAATGCACTCTCTTTTCTTGAGATTATATTACTGGAACAAAATAATGCAATCTTAATTACTGATTTCCACACTCATGTGTATGTCATGGGGGGGATCAATACATCTTATTAACTATAAAAAATTATTTATATTGAATATGTATCAAACGGTAACAAACTTCAACTCAGTATTTATTATTAGGATCAAAACGATATTACATTAAAATTATTCTCTCACTCCCCTTTATTTTTTTTTTTAATACTATTTAAAATATGGTAAGTTTTTCACATCGCATTTTTTCAATTACAATAAATTTCTAACAGCATCGTAGATGAGACAGAATTATAATCCAGATTATTTTTATTTTAATTGATTTTATAGAAAATAATGATAAAGCATTGAGCTTTATAAAAGTAATCTGATTTTTGAAATAATGCTGTTTAACTGTTTATGTTCAATGTTGCATGAATCAAGATCTTTAGCTTTTTTTTAAAAAAGTAAACATATCGCACAATCTTTTTTCAATAATTTAATGCTAATAATAGCGTTTTTCTTTTTTTATCGCAGGCAGTAATTGTTTATGAAATCAAAACGCGTACGACTTGGCGAAAAAAGGTTAACGCCAATTGGCGCAGCTTTCTATTTCAACGGAATACACGGAAAAAAACATATAAAATTCAATTATTTGTAAAGGGTGATTCCAGTAAATAGTGTCACAGTATTTAATACATTTTGATGCTAATAATACATGCTGAAAATGTCATATACGGCGGCAATTTTCTTATACAATATGGCTGAAACTTTCCAACCAATTCAACAGAGATAGTAAAAATGACAAAAATACTGAAAATAAAATAATAAATCATTGCAGTTTTAACTTTACCTATGAAAGGTTACAAGTCCTCCTTTCACGAAACTTTCTTTACATCCGTAGGCGGCTGCAGCGAAATAACCATTTTTTACTTAAATTTTATGTGACCAAGCAGAGCAGTCAGTCTTTCGTCCCATAGAAAGCAATGTAAAGTATTTCCGCACTTTCGGAATTCGCGCAGCAGTCACGTGACACTAATGTTGGAACCGGTTGAAGGTTGCAATACGCTCTCTACCAGTATATTATCTCGTTGCCCCAGACCCGAATCACTAGCGGTGGGAATGACCTTTCGCGAATGGTTCCTTCCTCGCGTTGTTAAGCTCACAAGATCAGTGATCAAGGAAATGTCGAATCTTTTGAAAATTCATGATGTAACTCTTCAAAACTGATTCTGGCCCTTTATTATGCAATCTTTGTTTTTTTACCTTTTTTCATTGTGGAAGTCAGTTTACCTTTTTTTGTTTTGACAAATCGACACTAAATTTTACCTCTTTGTGGAACTCTCTTTTTGATGGTAATTATTTAATCTTTGATGATGTGGAGATAAAGGCATTAAGCCTCTGAACCTCGTAATCGAACCCTTCCTAGATCCTGCCGCTTAGCTTCCATTCTTAAACACGCTATCACGCCTCAGATTCTCTTCTCACCTCTCCCACACCTTCTACTACACCGTTCTGCTGTTCAGAAGCCGAGTAAAAAGTTGTTTCTACATCTTGACACTCGAGAATTAAAATACAATCTCATCATCATCATTCTTAAACAAACAATTCATCTGCTATTAAAATACATAATTTTTGAAGCAAGCAGGAACTAAGCAACTCATCTCTTCCATGCGTTTTCTACGGTAAATAAAAAGAGAAACCGTCAAGTATCTTATTAAATTTTTAAAAAAGTGTGAATTAATTTCAGGTTCTTGAAAAGAATTGCAACGTCTTAAGTCCGTTTTGATAGGAAAAGATAGTCTTACTAAAATGTCTTCAGAGAAAGAAGCTAATAAAAGCAGCGAACCCAAAAACAGTTTAGGAATCCCGGCTGCTTTTTTTGTTGTAAGTAAACAATTTATTTATTAATTTCTTTAATACATTTTATTGGATTTCACGTTATGAGAGTCGAAAATATATATTGAAAGATGTTAGTTTATGGAAGTATTTTTACATCGTAGAAAAATGTCGATCATTTTAAATTACTTGTCACATTGTTTTAATTAGTGGCGTCTACGAAAACTGGAAGCCGCTGCTGTCTGTCAGCATGGTAGTTAACAGACTCTATTAATTCATTCATGACTTCAGATAAATCTTCATACACTAAGTACTTTTAAAATCGATTAGGCACAGCTTTAGTATTAGTCCTTTTTGGCGAGAAATTTGTTTGGCAACATTTTTGAGCGATAAATGGAAAATTATGATAACCTTGGTAACCCTAAATATCAAGTTTAAAAAACATGCCGCCATTTCTGTCCACATAACTTCAACGAATTTGGTAGATATCAGAACTTTCATGGCAGGAGGGATAAATTGCATGTTTTTCTTAAAGTTCCTTTTGTGTTAGGAAAGCACAACATTTAAAATATTTTTAAAAAAGCCAAAATTTGATAGTTAAAACTGGTGCTTTTAATATTACATCACATGAGTCTTGAGATTTTTTCATATGGCAAATCTGCATATTATTATAAACTCCACCCCCCCTCCCCAAGGAAAAAAAACACATTTTCAGTAGCATGAGGTAAACTCTTTGCTAAGGAGATCAAAAATTACCATGGTCTAAAAATACTTATTTGCCTCGTATTAGAACTGTAGGGATGTGTAATTGCATGAATTCATAGGTTCAAATCAGGACCAAAATCAGGTTTCATTATTGCTTTTATAATATTTTTATAATTTGTCTGACTATAAAAAATATAATGTTGTTTAGATTATGGAATATATAGCGTATAATTTAGAGTTCTCAAATTTTGTAAATCTTACAACCTAATAGCTGTATATGAATAACCTTCACTGAGTATTATTACTTCTATTAATAGTATGTTGACATAACAGTCGACTTTTATTTTAAATTTTATGCAAATTTTCTACATTACTTAAACATTTTATCTAACAGAACTCTGAATTTTTTGTAATAAAAACTCTATAATAAAAGTAAGAGTACAATTTACATATAAAAATTTGACTACATAGCAAACACTTAGATACCGATTTCAATGACTTTAAATGTTATTATTATGAAGTTTAGATATATTCTTATTAAGATATACTTTTATTCTATTATAAAGTTTAGATGTACAGAACAGAAGGCACACTTTGTGCTTACGACTCAGTCAACCACTTGTGGCAATATAGCTTATGATAACAATTAAGTTCAAATGTAAAATTTAAATTCAAATAAATTTGTAGCCAAAGGCTACACAGATCAATTTAATGCAAAGTTGGTTAAAACTTAACTGGCATGGAATTCAACTATCAGCAAGTATAATGCAAGTCTGAAGACTACAAATCTTATCTTATCTAGCAACCTAGTAATGTGGCCTCGAAAGGCAAACACTGTTTTTTTTACAAACTAAAAACTTCATTTGGATTCTGGTGAGAAAATGGATGGAGGAAATTGACAGTAAAGATCCCAAGCATAAAAGAACTCTGGTTACAAAATAAAGGCACGTTACAATATACTTTGTTCCCTGATTAATTATTCACTACATGAAATAATGTAATGCATTTTTGTTTGCATCATATACAAATTATTTATTTTATTTAAATGCTGTCCAAAACTGAACAGGATTTTGCAAACATATTGACCATATTTTTCGACCTATAGATGCAACACTTCTTCACTTCAGAAGTAAGATTTAGAAATAAGAAAATAAGAGAGAATTATGAATAGAAAATAAATATATATGCTGGCTAGCAGAAGAAAGATGCCTTTATAAAGTACTTTTTAAGAGAAACTGGCTCAGATTCACATTACATGTACAGAAAACCACAAAAACTCCCATATAGCCAGCCTGAACTACCACTGTTCAGTGGCTTACTCCACCACTAGTACATTCCAATGACTGTTTGAATTTTTCACAGAAAGCATCATTTATGATGATTGTATTATTACCATTGGTACAAAATTTACTCATTATGATAATTTAATTTTAGCTTTTAAATTATATCAAATTACTTGTAATAAATTGAGGGATTAAAAAATACACACTTCTTAATATTTTTACCATTTACAAAATTTAATCATAAAATGTATTTCTAACACTCTTACAAAACTTGCCCATTATAATTTAATTTGATTTCCTTTACTTTGAAATATTTTTTTTATTTTCTTTTAATAACAGAAATCTAAGAAACTAACTTTGAAATGAATTTGTTAACCTTTTGTAAATTTCATTATTCATAGCATAAAAATTAACCTTTTGTAAATTTAAAATATTAGCTAAATTCTAATATAATATAAATTTAGCTAAACTACTTAAAATATTAATTTTTAATATATTAATTAAATATTTTGTAATTTAAAATATTAACCTTTTGTAAATTAATTAATCATAACATAATCACTGCCATAAATTCATTTATGGTAGTGTTTCAAGAATTTATCATAGCAGTACTAGGAATGTTGAAAATTAGAGAAAGACTGTTTATTCTGATCAAGAGCTTATTTTTTAGGATTGTAGTTAGTCTAGATCGGGTTTTGTTGACAATCCGCCATTTTTTTCGGATCTTCAAAGCCGGGTCTACCTTGGTGACCGAAGTTTGTCGCCAAATCAAAAAATCGCCAAAAGGACCAATACTAAAGCTGTTCCTTCGATCAATACGATATTCTGTTGAGAGGTTTGGGGCAGAGAAAGAGAGATGCGAAATACATCGATACCATTTCCCAGTGGTACTAGCCAAAAGAAGCAAAAATAAAACAGCAATTCGGTTGGATCATAGCAGAACCCACACCCTTGGTGCATATCGATGTGTACATGGACAAAGTCAAGGGAGTGTGCAATGCCAAGTTAATGCAATTCTGGGATGTTTTTATAAGTGAAAATAGGTCGATGTGTACATGGATATCGAATTCTGCAATTTTTTTACTTGTTATTTTCAAGTTGGCGATTTTGAAAAACGCACGAAGCGGGTGATTCTGCACTTTCCCAGTTTGTTGCAAAGGGTGTGGGATCTCCTAGGATTTTACCCAGCAATTTCTACATTATTTTGATTTTGTAGTAGTTTCATCACTAGACTATAATACATAGCTAGGTATAAGTATGATTCTGTTCTTGTGTCAAATCCTCTTCCATAAGATTCGTATATCCGCTATGCCACATGGACTCCGAAAATTATTAATTGTACGTATTGTTTTATTTTATGTGGTTGTGCTTACAGAATTCCTGCATTATTTGTTTCCACAGGCTGTCAGTCATATTTGTATGTACTCTGGAATGATTTGCTGAAAGGTGAATGAAACTTTTATCAAAATGGCAGTCGTATGCTATCAGTAGTCAAACATCACCACTGATTTGGACAAGATGGGCTAATCTTTGGAATATGGTAACAGGTAGTTTGGCGACATTTTGTAAGGCGATAAAGGTTACTAGCTAGGACTTTAGCAGTGTACATGGATAAAGTCAAGAGTGTGCACAATGCCAATTTTGTGCAATTTTGGGATGTTTTTTTAAGTGAAAATAGGTCGACATGTACATGGATACCGCGTATATCTAATTCTTAAAAACGCAGCAAGCAGTTTGCGATTCTGCTCTTTCTCCCAATTTCGCACCTAATCTTCGTCATGATTAAGCACTTTAGTTCCATAAAAGTTTTAGCATAAGGATAATTTGGCTAGCAGATTGTTGGAAAAAGTATTAAGTTAAAAAAAAAAAAAAATGTTTTTACTTCGTGAAAACAAAATGGCGTCCAAACAAAAACGAGCAGGATGCTGTAGCAGGGTTTGTCGCCAAAAAATCGCCAAGTTACCATAATCCAAAGATTAACCTCAAGGTGTTTTTCTTTATCGCATTCAACAAAGTCACTTTCATCTGATCTTCTACTGTGGGGGGGGATAATATTTTGATTATATTGAACACCCACTTTCCTATGTTTTAGGTGCATCTTAATCTATTTGTATTTTCATATTTTCCTCGTGCAACATCTAATAATGTTTGGAATTTCATTGTGCTGACTGTATTTTGGAGTCAAGTGCAAAAATTCCAACTCTTTGTTTTGTCTTCCTGAGCAGTAACAGAAATAAGATATGGAAGTATTTCTGTCTCACTGAAAAAAATCTTCCTTTTTTATGTAACTGGGATTATAATCTGTCATTGAAAAGTTTTTCTTTATTTATGTTGCTGGAATCATAATTTAATCGACATTTATATTTTTCATTCAAAAGTTTCATTGGAGTAAGTAAGGCATAGCAATAACAAAATTTAAAATGTCTGTGTAATTCCTTTGAATACTCTGCCCTGTGTAAAAGAATTCTCTTTTCAATTAAGTTCTTTATGAAGTTCTTCACAACTCATCAAGGTATGATTTTTTACTTCAGTAACAAGCCAGTGTATAAAAAGAATACTAGTAGTTTGATTTTGGGTTCAGTCCTAAAGAATGGGCTGACAGTCTTGCATACTTTACCTTTGCCAACACACAGTAAAGAGTGTTAAGTAAAAGGATATGTGAAGTTTCTCCTTTCTAAAAAATATGAAAAATGAAGATAATTTCATCACTTATCTGTCTTATCCAGTGTTCAGTAAGAATGAAGTGATTCTCTACCCCAGGATGATGGATGTAAAGCAAAAGTATGATAGCCTTTATAAAGAATATCATATATCTTAAAATCGTCTAAAGAATGTAGAACCTCCCATTCAGAAGACAGAACTTATGCATAATTTTAAATACTGAAACGAGCTGATAAGGAAAGAAAATTTTCATTTCTCAAAAAATGAATCACCTATGTAGCTCCAATTTTATAAGAATCTATTCACTATTTTCCTGAATAGTAAAAATTGCAAAGTTTAAATCATAGCATCAGCCTCGAACAGAATCCGGGACCATCCTTTTTGACTCGTGATGTGAGC